GTACATTGATAACATATACATACCGTGATGAATTTCTTCAAATCTCTTCCAGTTGCAATGTCCCGTAATAATGCAATACCACAATTAATTTCTGCTCTCAAAGTTGAAGCAAACTCCAAAAAGGGGTCCGCAGGAAGTTGAACAACTGGGATTCGGGGTGCACTCCTGTAAATACACTTGTTAAACAGCGGAGAAGAGCCTGATTTCAAGCCGCCAGACACTTAAATATTGATAAAATGAAATTCACATCTAGTAACTCACTTGTAAATAAATGTGTGGGCATTAGACCAAAGGAACAAGAGCCCAAGAGCGAGGATCAGAGAGCGTGAAACAAACGTAAGCAGATGGCACTCGAGCAATTCAAAGAAAACCCAGATGACAGTGGCTCCACTAAGAACACCGGCTGAGATCTTCTTATTCCTCCACAAGAATAAATCAGCAGCTGCTTATGCCACAGGGTTAAGAAACGGTCAACATTTCAATTTAAATCCAAAAGGTATCAAAAGAAATTATTATATATAGAAGTTTAAAGTAAAACTAGATGCTTTATCAAATTTAGATGTAAATTTTAATATCTTGACATCCATTTAATTTTATGTGTAATAGATCTTTGCCAATTAAATTTTAATGATGAATTGTTCTATTAAATATAAATATAAATTTTATGTTCAATAAAATCCAAACTTTCAAGCCTACATATAGTAGATAATAAAACTAAATTTATAGTTCTAAAAGACAAGTCGAATAGACAACAACTAAACTTGTAATTAACATTAAAAAGTCACCACATGACATAAGAAAGACGCGGATCGCATCAGAACAAATTCAAATGTACAATCCAGAAATAAGCGATGCAGGAAAAAAGTTAAATACAGATATCGAACCCGGACGTGGTACAAATATAGCAAGTTCAGTAAATAAAATTATAAAAAAAAAAAGACTATGTTCTGTAAGCTCAATGAATCGCTCTAGTATGTCGTACGCTCGATCTGGACAACGAGCGTTGTTCAGAAAGGAAAGGCAACCAGATCTATAACTTCTTGCCGTTCATATATTCTATATCCAAGCAAATAATAAGAACAATGACTAAACAGCGCAAAGAAGCCTACCTAAATAGCATCAACCAAAAACGAGCTCCAAGTATAAACTCAGGAAAAGAATCTTAAAAAAAAAAAGTTCAAAAAGAAGGAAATGCCAACGAAAAACAAAATGATTCATCAATAACTTGGAATCAGATAGATAAGATTTAGTACGTTTGCCACCACCGAATACATGATGAACTGGCCTCTCCCTTCCGAAAAGCCGGAAGACCTTCTCCTTCAAGGATGAGGACGAAGCCGATCCCTCGGTTTCGGAGTCTGATCCTGACGACGAAGATGAATCGTGATCGTGAATCTTCTCGACAATCTTGTCGATCAAAGACTCCGATTTCGGTTCAGCGTTTTCAGAATGGTCCGACATGGTTGATTGATTCCAGTGACCGAAATCTCAAAGAGAAAATCAAGCTACTCTATCGAGAGCGACTAGGGTTTTAGAAGACAGAAGAAGAAGGAATTTGAAAAGAAATGACGATGGAAGAAACAGTGACACTTGGGTATTTATTAATGGGGTTGACAACGCAAAAGCAAAATTGACGGACAAAGGTAAGGCGTTAGTTGACGGCGTTGAAAAAGCTAACGGTTTAATAGGGGGGATGTTTATGAAAGTGAGCGACACGGTGGAATAATATGAGAACACGTGGCACTCGATTAAACGAACGACAGCTAGGGCGGCTTGGACAGGACGAATGGTCGGTCGTGGGTTCCACCTTTTCTGTGATACCGGGAGCTGAATCGTTGTTATAACTTATAACGTCTTTTCAAAAGCATTATAAAAATAAAAAAGGCAAAGTAAATATTGGTTTTTACTTTTTTGTTTTATTATTAATTTAATAAATTTTGAAAGTTACTTTATTAAGTAAAAAAAAAAACTACCCACAGGTTACGAGTTTATTCTATAAATGTTCATAAACTTTAAATTCTGTCTTAAATTTTATTAACTAAACTCATATTTTAATTATAAATACTTTTTTCAATTTTTTATATTTTATAAATTTATTATCTTAGCTTAAATGCAAATAAATTTTGAATTTGGGTGGGAAAATGTGTAGATCGGGCTGGGCCTTCTAAATACAGATCATTTAAGGCCTGGGGTTGGGCCTTTAATGTAAAGATATTTAAAAGGCCGAAACGTAATTGGGCTTGAATCTTTGGGCCATATGACCAAACTTGTCATAGATCACTTGATGACTGTCGTTGGGCCTTCAATGTTTAAATAGGCCGAAATGTAATTGGGCTTGAATCTCTGGGCCATATGACAAAACTTGTCGTAGATCATTTGATGACTGTCGTTGGGCCTTTAGTGTTTAAAGGGCTGAAATGTAATTGGGCTTGAATCTTTGGGCCATATGACCCATACATTAAGCTGTATTCTTGTCAGTTGGTAATAAAAAGGCAACAGCATTCCTGTCTAAATTTTGCAGAGAAAAAGCAGTGAAATCAATGGATTCATAATTGAACTCGGGAAAGGAGACCAAGATGCCGATCGAAATCATGATCTCATCGGTCATCCCTCACCGTTAAAGGGGTAAACAGAACAAAAGAAAATTCTAAAGTGAAACTCAATCTCAGTGTTTCAGTCCCATAAAAGCTCTTGGAATCATACGAGTTCAACCCAAAATCACCCAATGATTTAGAACTAAACAGAGAGCACAAGCAACAGAGGAATCACAATCTCCAACGTGATTTAGAACTAAACAACAGAGGTTTTTGGGTCAGGGATTAAACTACTGTGACCAACTTAGATTTGGTGTATGAATTTGCTTCAAATCAAAGTAAGAAAACTATGCACGAAACAATGAAAACCCATCAACAGTTCTCAGTGTCAGCAGCTTTAGTAAAAAGAAAGGGAAGACAATAGGAATCATTTGCACGCTTACCAACCCGTTAGCAAATGATGATGGGATTGAAGATTTGGAAGGGAAATGGAGCAACTAGACATTCTAGGCCAGCTTCAGAAGACTACAGTGGAAATAAGAAGGACCCTTGAGATGGGTCAAGCCAACTTTTTGGAGCAAAAAGAGTGGAAGAGAAATGGAAAAGTTCTTCTTGTCTCAATTTTTTGTTTGGTTTTCAAATAATCGAATCCAGCACTATCAGATCTACACAAGAATATTGATTCATGAGTACTCAGCGAATTGCAAAATAAGTAAGTTGAAAATTTCATGTATAGGTCGTACAGTTCCCATAACACTCAAGACGAAAAAAACTCAATACCTAACTAAAGAATTTACAATTTCCTAAAAGCGAAAACAGGCAAAACGAACAGAGAATATGAGGAGAACGAAAAATGAGAATCTATTGAAGCCTCGTTGACGATCAGTGCAATTAACGAATCATCTCCTTCTCCGATCCGCCATGTATTGGGAGAGCGGCACAACCTCCTGAAGAGGAGTGGAAAGCGGCGTCGGGAGTGGCGAATTCCGGCAAACCGGACAAGAGCCATTAAGCTTCAACCAAGCATCGATGCAACAGAGATGGAAGCAGTGTCGACACTCGGGCATCATCCTCAGCATCTCCGCGTCCTTATACTCACAGAGGCAGATGGAGCAGACGCAATCGGCTCCGGCCATGGATTTATCCCTGGAGAAGGGGAATTTAGGGTAAGAGTTAATGACAGCCTGGTCGAGGCCAAAGACGCCGTTATCATCGTTGGGATCTGGAGAGGCGTCGTCCTCGGCGACGAAGATGATCCGAGGGAGAATGATTCCGGCATCGGAACGCGAGGGAGCGGGGTGGCGGTGGAGATAGCGGGGGCGGGAGCGGGAGGCGCGACAGCAGACGTAGAAGGCGAGAAGAAGAGCGGAAAGGAGGACGAGGAAGGCGAGGGCTATGGCAATGGCGTAGCCGAGGCCGATCTTAGAGAAGGAGTAATTGGAGGAGGAGGAAGAAGGGGAGATGGACATTGAGGAGGAATTGGAAGAGGGGGAAATGGAGTTGGAGTTGCAGTTGAAGCCATTAGTGGGGGGAAGAAGAAGGAATTAGGGCAGATAATTTTTTTGGGGGGAAGTGGGTGGGGATACCACACCCAGCATTTAATACACTTCGTCTTTTCTAACTCACTCTTCACTCCTCACTCCAACCAATTTGCTTTTTTTTTTTCTTTTTTTCTTTTTTTTTTTTAATAATTTCGTATTAAATCTTTGCTAAATTATATAAAATACGCCTAATTAAAATTGAAGTGAAACAAAATAAAAATGGGAAATCAAATAATTCTTACCCATAAACTGGAAGGATCCATCTCAGTTCTGAAGACAACTAAATATTTTTAAAAAAATATGGAAATCTCTCTCTAATAAATATGTTTTTAAGAAAGAATCTTGAAGTTATTATAAAGGGTATAAAGAACAGAATTTGGAGTTTGGACGGTGTTTTTTTTTTTAATTAATTAATTAGTTGAAATAAAATTGGTTTTAAAAAAGATTTGGAAGTTCTTTTGTTAATCAACGCTTAATTCGGAAATCAAATTGTTCCATCTTTCAACTGTTCAATAAATTAACAATTAACTTTAAAAACTTCACTTGCAAAAAAAATTATATATACCCTCCACCATGTCGAATATAAATTTATCCGTTTTTTTATTTTGGGTTTTATGTTTTACTGTATTCCATTTTTAAAACTAAAATCCAACCGTTCTTGTTTTTTTTTTTTTAATTGTAAAAAATAATTCTCAAACAGACTATTATTGTACGCTTGTAAGGAAATATAAATGACGTTGACGTGTGAAACTACTTTTTTTGAATCTTAGTTTTAAAAAATATACGATCCGGCAATTCTCACTCTAATTTAATTTGTTAAGCATATCTAATAAATCTGGGAAAAAAATCTAGAGAGAGCTAATCATACATACATAAAAAAAAATAATAATAATAAATAAATAAATAAAAAAGAAGAAGAAGAAGAAGATAGAAAACTGGACTCAAATTGTCTTTATGCTGCGTATAAGAGATGCATGATTTAAACACAAATTACAACAAGCTTATTATCGATCACTTTAGGCGTGATTTAGAACTTTGAACAAGAGTTTTGATATAGCTAAGCGAACATGTCAGAGAAGGTAGGGAGCTTCATCTCGCCTTTAGTGGAGAGAGGAATGGTGAAGCTTCCGATGACCGGAAGGTCTATGGTGAGTCCGATCTGCAACTCGTAATCAATGTCCCAATCTCGGCCTATGTCCCTCACTAAGCTTATCAGTACGGTATGCGGAACTTTCACCGCCACTTCCAGCATAGTCGAGTCACTTGCTTTCAAAGATCCTGGATCTGGCACCGTCCCCGTAGCAATCACTCTGCACATTCGTCATACTATCAATAGATCCATCATACAATCTCAATAACATCCATTTCATTCCTCCAGAAAATGAACATTAAATTATTTATTGCCAGTTGAATAAATCGAGATCGGCTAATCAATCGATTCAAAATGTTCGTCCAAAATTTGACCTAACTTATAAATCAAAACATTTAGGCAAACTTAATAGGCAAGCGAAGAGGAACGAACCTTCCGTCACTTTTGAGAGTGTAAGAAATCTCACAGATAGGAATGGCGCAGCTGTAAGGATTGGAGACAGAAACATTTGCCAAATACTCGACGGAATCGCAGCTTAAACGCTTGAAATCGACGTCGGTGACCGAGGCCTCCGGCTTGGGAATGTCGGCCACCTTATCAGCAATGAAGTTCTTCGCCTTGTCAATCAAATCCGCCATTTACGCTAGAGTTTGCAGAGAACCGCAAGAAGATGAAGAGACTCAAAGCGAAGAAAATCTAGGAAATTAAGAATGGAAATATGGATGGTAGACGCGAGAACCCGCTCCTTATATAGTGTGAAATTTGAATCGACAACACGTCTCGTGCACGCGCACGTGTAGCTTCCGCGTTTAAAGTTGTGTGATTGGGCCGCACCGCGTGATTTACCCTTTAAAATGACACAAATTTAAAATAATTAAATTATTTGGTCGATTTTAATCTAAAATATTAAGAAAATAACACATAGCGCGCGCACACATATATATATATATTTGTTTTTATTATTAATTTTTTTAATCTTTGAGTGAATTTTGGACTTTGTAACATTAAATCAATTTATTTAATACCGACCAAATCATAAAATATTTAAAAAATAATTAATTAAATGCAAAATGTACGAAGAAAAAAAATGAAAGAAAACGTAGGGTTTGGCCTAAATATGCCTTTTTCTTTTCCGATTTTCATAATAAGAATAAAGCTAAATTATAATTTAGCCATCTGAATCTAAATCTAAATCAAAGCTATATTAAAATATATATATAAAAAAAAAGGAATATTAATATAAAAAATATATGAATTAAAGATGCACAGTTGTAATAATAAAAACTATGGTGGGAAAGCATTTAAAGCAAAGTTCATCCTGTTCACATTCATTGAAAGTCAAGATAATATAAAAACAGTGTTAAATTTATATTAAAAAAAGTAAAAAGGTATTAATTAAATTTATTGTTGAATTAGTTCGCATTCATTTTATGGGCCCTTTTCAAGTCCATTGCATATTGGGCCGGCCCATTGGAACATTGTGATTTTTTAATTTTAAAATATTTAATTATTTCACCAACAGTTTATTCCAAATATTTTATTTAAGAAAATGTATTTTTTTTAAGGCTTAAAAAAAATAAATATAAACGTTTAGCTCAGTTATTGATAATAACAATTAACAACAACAACAATAATACTTTTATTCTGTTTAAAATCAATATTAAACAAGAACTCAATCAAACACAAAGAAAGATAAAAGAAAGCCTTAGAATAAAGGCCTCTTTCCATTTAACAATCCCATCAACTGATCCACAACTTGGGGCCCCGCATCACGCAGACCAGAATGCATTAATTCATTAGTAATCCACAGCCTTGTTCCTCCTATTTGGGAAGCTGTCTCCATGGTCAGCTTGAAGTTGACAAACATATCTTCGTAATATACTGCAGCTGCGACTGGAACCTGTTGTCGGAATCCAGAAAATATGTTACTTTTTTTGTCAACAGAGACACCTCGAGGTAACCTGAACGCTCGTCGTGACTCGTGACAAGTTGTTACGGTAAAATCGACTCAATAATACCTTGTTATTTTTAAGAGCAGCAATGTCATATAGAGGAGGCCAATCCTCCTTATTAGCCAATATATTAGCCACGTCTTTGAACGGTTTCAAGGCATGAATCTCGTCAAACATCCACGGGAAGCTCATCTGCAAAAGCATTATAAACGGAGATATTGTCTGCTTTGACCCATAACATATCGCCATCAGCCTCACAGTTTAAAATACGTCTACTAGAGAGAGGTTTCCATACCCTTATAAGAAATGTTTCGTTCCCCTCTCCAACCGACGTGGGATTTCACAATCCACCCCCATTGGGGCCTAACGTCCTCGTTGGCACATCGCCCGATATCTAGCTTTGATACCGTCACAACCGCTCTTTTCTTGGCAGTAGATTTGGTGATTGTGCGGCACTCACTCTCAGCATTGAGTGAGTCAAGCTAACTTAGGATTGCATCGCCTATGGCTAGGCAGCGTATGCTCAAGCCTGCAACACAACGATTTAAATAACATATAACTTTTCGGGTAGGGAGGTATTAAGTCAAATACTTCACGAGCAGAAGTTCCAAAGACGAGGTAAACTAGACAACTATTTATTTGATGAAAATAAAAGATGAGCACAGTTTGAACTAACCTCTCCAGTGAAATACACAGGAAATCCATCCTTTACAGCCTTATTTGCATCAAATTTGCTACCCACTTCATTCCTTATTCTTTCAGCAGACCAACGAGATGAGGCGCCCTTTGGGGAACAGGAAGTGGCAAAAACTCATCTCAACACAGAGTTCCAATAGGCCAAAATCTAATTCTAAAACCAAAAAAAGGAGGCTACCTGGCAGTAAACAGATTCATTCAAGAGAGCATAAAGAGGATTCGAACCGAATGGTATCCAGTTATCAATCTGCATGTGTCCTAATTGCTTAGAATCAATCAAGAATGAAAGTTAATAGAAACTGTGGAAGGAATACTAACCTCGTTGAGGAAGAAAAAACTGATTCGTTTCGGTGCTCCAGGCACAATTATAGGATCCCATGCTCTCTCAAACCTGCCACAATAGAGGCCATTCAGCCATTCAGCCATTCACTTGTCCAAAAGTTAGAGACCAGAGAGAAAAAGATAGAGGTATTACAGATAGTGCAAGCGCTCAAAACCAGTGCTGAACCCCAAAGCAGAAAGACCAAGAGTTTGCAGTCCTCTGGGTGTCAAGATACCACCAGAGGGAAGAGGAACCTAGACAAATCCAGAAGGAAAATGGGGTTTTTTTCAGGGAGCTGAGAGAATTTTTAAGCATTAAGATGAACTCACCCCGCCGCCATTCTCTTCCAAGTATTTCACAACTTCCTGGACTGATTCAACATCCTGAGGGTATCTCTTGTAGTACTTTTCATTTTGGATTAGAACCTGTTCAAGGCCTGCTCTATATACAGAATCTGCCATGCATCCATTCCCAATTGGAGGGATCCCACCACTTATGAGGACTTGTTTCAATCCTTGTGGTGCAAAGCTCAAATACGTAAGTGCACAAAAACCCCCATAGCTCTGCGAAGGGAAAAGGAGAGTTTGCTTGAATTTGGAGCCATATTCAGAAGTCACAAAGCTCAACAACATTAAATACCTGACCCAAAATGGTCCAAGGAGCAGCATCAGGAACAAGACGAATCCTAATAAATTCAGCATCATTAACTATGTTATCAGCTCGAAAATGTTTCAAATAATTGGCTAAATCCTCTGCGGTTTGAAATTGTGACATGGACGATGGAGTCAAGGGAGTTGATAATCCTGTTCCTCGCTGCAAGGTGGAATAAAAGATCAAGGCAACACTTGTTTATATTTTCAAATGCCTTTGCTCAAAGGTTAGTCAAGTCAGTAAAGTCAACAAAAGGCATGCCTGATCCATCAATATAACACGAAATTCATCACATGCTTTTTGTATCCATCCACTGGCTTCGGTTGGTCGGGGGCACTCGAACCCGGGTCCTCCTTGTAAGTATAAAAGGTATAGCATTGGTTGCTCCTCTTTCCCCACTGCATTGCAGATTCTGTATTAGTTAAGGATAAAATGTACTAAAATCAAAAAGAAACAACCAGAGAAGTTTCAACACTTGAAGGATTTGGTTATAACATCATTGAATATTTGAGGAGTTATTGAATCAGTAGCTTCAGCAGTACTCAACCTCTCAATGCAATATGATTATTTGTATTCTGACTAAGATGTCTACATATTTTCGGAGTGCCCTTTTGCATTCTAAACCAGTTTCAATGATTTATATCAATTGATGTTTGGCTAATATGAACGTCCCTTAGCTAATTGAGATATAGATCATCAACAAAAATGTTCGAAATTTGAATGTAATTATAAAAAAATGATCAATGTTAGAAAATTTTGTTCATTTACCAAATACCATAAGCACAACCCAGGACCCATTGGAAAGTTCCAATTATTACTTACAAACCATGTATGTATGTGTGCATGTGTGCATGTAGAAGTGGGGACGGGATGAAGTGAAGAATGTAATCTACGTCCCCGACCCCATTTAAGAGAAATCTCTCTCTATTCTCTATGGATCCGAGGAATTAAATGACATCTCTAGTCACACAAGTTTTTTAACTTAATAATCATTTCTACAAAAACATAACAGAAGAATTGGTGTTGAAATGGATAGAAAAAATGAATAAAATTAGTTAACAAATAATGAGAGATAATTCTACCCAAGAGTTGGCCTTTAAAAGCAACGAACCTTTTACAAAGAGAACTACACGTAAGATTTTTATTCTTTATACAAAAACAACACCCATATTTAGACTTTTTCTATGGCCACAAATAGTCCATACAATAGATTCCACGTCATGTTCAAAAAAACATCTAGTTTTTTTTTGCTTCCCAAACATATTTGCTACCATGTTTGTTTGGAATCACTTTTCAAACCTTTAAAAATATATTTTTCATTTTAACACTTTTTAAAATATTAAAAAAATAATTCCAAATAGACTAAACACAACATCATTACTTCACAAATTCAATAAACAAATAGAACAAAAATCTACCATATATAACAAAAATCAGTCCCTACTAGATTACGTGTTACAATTAGAGATGTCCATGAGGCAAGATGAGGGTGGAAATCCTTCCTCAACCTCGTCCCCACTTCCTATTTCAACTTTCATCCTGGCAAAATTCTCCATTCATTTTTACAAGGATCGGGTTCTATCCGAGAAATTTTTCTCAATTTTTTAATATATATATTTTTAAAAACATTCTTTTCAAAGAACTTTTTAATTAAAAATAATGTAAAACATCCTAATAATTCTATTATTATTTCATAAAAAAAATAGTATTCAACCTCATTTCTAAAAACTTAAATTTCAATATACTTAAATTTCAATATGATAATATAGTTTTTCAAACTTTTTACATATATATATATATACAAAAAGAGGGTGGGGTTGGAGACGGAAGGGAAAGTATAATTCTCGTCCTAAGCCCTATTTAGCTTAGCTAGTGAGGAGAAATTGCTTCCACTTTCATTCTGGAAATTTCTTGCCCCGATTAGTTACAAATGGAAAAAAAAAACCATAATATGAAAATGGAATGGAAGTGAAATCAAACTCAAACTAAGATGATTAACCTGAAACAGCTTCCCGGGCAAAAACGGAGATCTTGGGAGAAGAAACCTGATCTAGAGAGTAGCTGAGAGGCACGGAGAAGTAATGGTCCCGGAGACGAAGCTCCGGCACGGAGTACCATGTGCCAGCCACATGCACATGCGGCGATTCTCCATTAGGGGGATTGGTTCCGGCCATGACTGCCAACGAAGGGACCGGGCTCCGGCAATGGGCAGCGGAGAGAAGGTTCGGGAGTGGAGCTAACGAAAGGAAGAGGCAGGGGAAAGAGTGGAAGTGAAGAAGGAATGGACAGAGGCACTTGTTACGTACGGGGCTTACGTGGAGTTGGCATTGGAAGGGTACATAATAAGGGAAGTGAACCATGGCGATAGGTACTGTAATAACTCTGTCGGTTGACAAATAAATGAAGGGGTTAGCTGGCCAACCCAAGAAAAGAAGGTTTGGATTGTTTAAGGAAGCTGAGTTGGATTGTTTAAAGAAGGTAAGTAAGAGAACTTTCTTAGTATGGCTGAGGTCTATTTGGTAAATAATGGTTAGTTCTCACTTACTGAGGAGACGTTAGGAGTCGTAGATGGTATACTACCAGGGTGCACCTGATAGACCGTTAGTATGGGTGCAAGTGATCATAGTGGTAGTCTGTGTATAGTGCACATGTTACCTCATACACACAAGACTTACCTGCGAGCCCGTCATAGGACAAGTTGACTCGCGTGCTGGTAGCACAAGGTTAAGGATAGACTTTGAAAAACATAAATAATAAGCTAGTGCCTAACCCTACGTTATGACCCGAGGGATTTAATCATGCACCCTAGTGTGTGAGCACATAGGGTCAAGGTATGGATAAACCTTATTATAAGCTAGCATGTATGGTAAGTCATAGTAAGGACTAAGGCTAAAATCAGTATATGAGCACATAGTTCAAAGAATCATTATAAAGACTAAGTCCAACGAGAGCCTAGAAATAGGTTCTTTACTGAATATTTTATACTCATCCCATGTTATTCATTTGTTTTCAGATGGGGTGCAGACCACAGTTGAGGGTAGGAGCGTGCAGAGCCATGCAGTTGCTGGGGTGCCCTTAGATCAAGTCGTCTTCCTCCTTTGCCATTTTATTATCTTAAAATGTTGTTTTGATGTATTTTGAGTAAACTATTTGAACTAATCTCGAAGACGCTATTTTGTATTTTTTTAATTAACTGTATATCAGTTTTAATGCATATTTAAATTTTAAACTTTCTTTGCCTTTTCACCTTTAAATTTGAAAGGTTTTTTTTTTTTTTTTAATTTTTATTTTCAAACACGGAAAATTTGCAACTCAAATTATATATATATATATCCAAACCGTACGGGTTGGGTCGGGTTTAACGAACTTCTGGATTTAATCCAGCTACCTTTCCAACTATACCAATTTGGGGAAAGCTTGAGAAAATATCAAACATTAAAGTCATGACAAAACGCAGACCTTGTTTGAAACAAATCATACTTTCTCAGAACTATGACAATTATGGGCATTGCTACGCTTCTTGTGCGCTTTTCTTTCAAGTCTGTAAAGGGCTCAGATGCATCAGAAGATGATACTTCCGAAGATAAGGCTCAAGCTTGAAGCAGAAGTAATCTACTAGACTCTCACCAAATGATTCATTAAGAAAATCCAATAGAGTTCGGTGTAAAGTGTTTAAAATTAAGAAACTAAGAGTCTCTTTAGAATGACTTTAAAGTGTTTTAAAGTGTTTTTAGAAGTTAATGGAGAAGGGAACGAGACATTTCTTATAAGGGTGTGGAAACCTCTCCCTAGTAAACGCGTTTTAAAACCTTGAGGGAAAGCCCTCGAAGGAAAAGCCCAAAGAGGACAATATTGGCTAGTGGTGGGTTTGGGTTGTTACAAAAAGTATTAGAGCCAGACACCGGTCAATGTACCAGCGAGGACGCTGGACCTCCAAAGAAGTAGATTGTGAGATCCCACATCGGTTAGATAGGGAAATGAACTATTCCTTATAAGGGTGTGGAAATCTCTCCCTAATACATGTGTTTTAAAACCTTGAGAGGAAGTCCTTGAAGAAAAAGCCCAAAAAAGACAATATCTTGTTGGATCTGAGTTCCCTCGAAAGTATATAATAGATCTCTAAAATTGAAGTTTCATGAGCAGCATCTACAAAAAAAACTAAGATATTTAATGGATGTATGAAGATAGATCAAGATATGTGTATTCAAGCTAGATCAAGAGATATCAATCCACTTCCACAAAATTCAAAACTACTGACAGAAAGACTATGATTAGATACCTGGATGCGTAATGCAGGATTACCAGCAAACTTAATGCACTCGGTCTTTGTAGCCGTTGTGTAGCTAGAATTGACTGAACTATAAAACTAAATAAGCTTCAGGCAAAAATCATAAGAACAGTTTGCAAGGATCCTGTCCCACCATTCGGTTGATATGTAATAAACCAGAAATACGGAGTTCATTCAAACATCCGGCCAATTTGAGAGCTCTCCACAAGAACATTGTTGATACGGAATTACTACAAGGGAAGTAAGATTCGAATTACTTTATTGATCAAATATCTCAAGATAAGATCATTTGTTTAAGATTCGAATCACTCCACAAGTAAAATCGATCATGTCAAACTTTAATGATTCTATACATGCAACCTAAACTATATAGAATTGCAAAGAAACTTAGCCCTAATGATAAGGAATCACTTGGATCAATCATGTTAAGCTTGAATGTTTCTATACATGTCATCTGAACTATATAAAAATGCAAAGAAATTTAGTGATGAGTTCAGTCAGAGATGAAACTTTCTCCAAATTCAATCACGCAGACACAACTTGTGCTTCAAAAGACAGAATGTAATCTCTTCTAATCCAAAATTTTAAGATGCTCCAACCTCTGTGGGTCAGAGTGTTGAATACATTTAGACTACCAAAGCTTGTAATGTAATGCATTCTGAATGAAATTTCAGTTCACCATCAAATTTCCTTCAGAGACATATAAATTCATTTGAAGAATGCAACATCCTACCAAACTAACCAGGTTGATACCCAACTACAAAGCTGTTCAAAGAAAAAAAAACCACAAATGAAAAACAGAAGCTAAAACAGACCGAGAATTTCAACTTCCATAAGGTGCTCGACGAAATGCCTCAGAAAGAATAATGGGATTCTACAAGAAAGCTTACCTAACGAGAATTTGAGGGAAGTCGGGAAAGGCGGGGAGCCAAGTCGAGGAGGGAGGAGCGGCACGGCGGAGCAGCGAGTGACTGCCATTTCAAAGCGTAATCGCTGATCTTCAAAGAACCCATTATTCTCCTGGTTTTGTTGCATCGAGGTTGTGATGTCCATTCCATGAACACAATGAACATCAGAGAAGGATTTAGCAGAAGTTGGAAATTTTCCGGGGCTTAAAATTTATTGAAATTCTCAGCCGTTCAGAAAAGAGATGCTGAAGATTGGAAATGGAATATGGATTGATGGAACAGTTTGTGAAGGGTTTGTGCTTTTCCCAAAAGCCAAAGGAAGAAAATGATGGTTACTTCTTTATTCACCACTTTTGGCTTCAACAAATATATCTTTTTATCTTTCCCAATATACACTTTCTTTTAATACCCAAATCTCAATTCTTCATTTTCTCTCCACATAAATTATAATTTTTATAAAAATGACCGTTTTAACCTTCCTGAGTTTACTTTTCTTCATCACTTCTGTTCATCGTTACGTGAAATCCTACGTCAACTGTAGACGAGAATAAAACATTTTTTGCAAGAGTGTGAAAATCTTCACGGATAAAACCGAAAGTATCAAAATTTTCAAATTTCTAAAAAAATAAACTCAACTCAAATCGGGAAAAAACGAATCTATAACCCACCGAATCTTGCACTTCACGAGTAAACTCAATGTCTTTCAAAATCCAATGTTCTTCGAATGAAACGTTCACGAATAAAATCAAATTTTATCCGTTTTCTAAAAAAATAAACTCAACCCAAATAGGGAAAAAACGTATGTAACCCCCTGAATCTTGCACTTCACGAGTAAACTCAATGTTGTTCAGAATCCAATGTTCTTCAAATGAATAAAATTGAATTCTATCCGTTTTTTGAAAAAATAAACTCAACCCAAATCGGGAAAAAACGAATCTAACCCAACCTAGTTTTTACCGTTTGAGTTAGATAGTACGAGTTGATCGAGTCAGTGGATCATATGAAGACCCTTAATACAAACATACTCTAGTCGATCATTTTCCATTCATGTCTCCGAAATAATATAGAAATATTAGCACTTTTGATAAAAATAAATAAATAAATAAATAAAGCTTGTTTGAAAAGCATTCCCAAGAACATCCAAACGGACAAACAAACAAGTGATGTGAATTGGAACCAAAAACAAACACACAAAGGTTGAGCCGTACAGAGAAACAGAATCTCTTAATAAAAATAAAAATAAAAATAAAAAACAAAACAAAATCAAGTTTTGGACGCAATTATACACAATCTTGATGTTGAATGGCTACCATTTTATCTTTACCCACTGGCATCAACTAAGAGAAAAAATTCCGAATTATCTTTTTAAAAATAAAAATAAAATAAATTAAATTAAATCTGATTCTCCACCATTGCTGTCCTCGGACAAGAGCATATTCTTCATCTCCCATACCCATTTTTTCTTCACAAAAATCTCTCTAATTTCCATCTCTGTCAACGCATTACCACGTCATCCATGCCTTGATTCCATTCCATTTCTTTTCATTAGTCAACAAACTCCAAAATTCCCACAAAACCCACTCCATCTCGCACTTCAAAATCACTGTTCTTCTACAATTTTTGTTCTAAAATTACAGGGAAATGAAAAATCGATACAGAGGACAACATGACTTCGTTAAAACATTGTTGAAATCTTTGCTCTAACTTTGATTTTACAGATCTCTATCTGAAAACAGGAAAAAAATGGGTTGGAAATTAGTTTACCAGGGGAGTTTTACAATTTCGCTGTCTGGGTCTCCGTTGAACGACCATGGAAGCTCGAAATTCGCCGGAAATTGATCGGAAAAACACTCGTCGGTGATTGGGCTGTCGAGTTCTTCAAAACCCATATAGAAATCGTCGTTCACGATCAAATCGGAGACACCCAGATCGTCGTCTTCTTCATCTTCGGCTAACAATTCCTCTTTCTCTTCTTTACTCTCTGTGATCGTACTTTGGTCTTCCGACGAGCAAACGGGCTGCTTCGAGTCGGGTTTTTCGGATCCGGAGGAAGCCGGCGTTTGCGTGTTGGGCTTTTGACGGGTAGAGCCGGCGAGAGAATTCCGGTGAGTCGGCGCTGGGTGGTTGTGCTCCGCCGTGTATGTGACTATGAACATTCCCGGGTCGGATCTGTTCCGCTCGACTTGTTTCCGGGCCATGCAACCCTTGGAACTGCTACATCTGTAATATCCCCTGTTTTTTTTTTTTTTGTTTCAAAAATCACCCAAATTAGTTTCAACACCTTAAAAAAAACCCTAATTTCAGCGTTTAAATCGAGCTCGAACCTTGGATATGGAGATCCTTTAATGGGTTTTTGGCCATATTTCCGCCAAGCCCAAATATCCGAAGACAGAGACTCCGCCGGAACTTGACAGACTTTCTTCAGCTGATTCTTCCTAAAACAGAGCGTCAAAAAATCACAAGATCAATCAATTACCTTAAAAAAAAAAAAAAAAAAAAGCATTTCCAGAATCAAGAAATTGAAGAATCATGCTCACCGGCGTTTAGATCTTGACGCAGAAACAGGGGCTGAATGGAGCTGTTTGGGGACATGGGTGTTCTGCCGTTGCTTCTGATGGGTCAAAATCTTAGCCGCCGGAGAAGAAAGCAG